AGAAGCTGGAGTCGGCCTGCTGTGTAGGCTGTGCGGCCCCTGATTCGATCAAACACTACTGGATGTGCCCCCTCTTTCAGGAGGCTGTCCAGGATATACTGGGGGAGCGGTTTGAGGAGGGGTGGGACGGACTCGATCTTCTCGGGCTTCTTGAGCCCTGCTGGGAACGGTTTAAAATCCCCGTCTGTTTTTGCCTGCTTTTCATTGCGGCTCGCGCTCGGAGGGCCCAGCTGCTGCGCGCTCTTCGTCCTGAGGAGCTCAAGGCGCTCCTGCCTGTCGTCAGCGTCCAGCTGAGGCGCTGAGCTCAGGTGCGGCAAGGGCCAAGGACTCGGTGCGCCGCGGCCACGCGCGAGGGCGAGGATTCCTCTCCACTCGTCTTCCATCTCCTCATCAGCCTCCTCATGCTCCAGCCCCTCATCATTGCAACGGAAGCCGCGATTGCTGAGATCGACGCAGCTGCTGCGGGGCTCTCAGCACCGTGCCAAGAGTACTGGATGCCCGCGGCCGCTACAGCCTTCACGTGCCCAGTATGGCCGCGGGGCTGGCGCGCGGGCGGTCCTGAGGAGGCGCGCGGAGCTCCCCCCCCCCCGCCCCAGCGGGGGGGTCCCTGGCTGCCGCACAGTGGTGGTCGGCCAGGTTGCAGGAGGGCGATGCTTAGCGTGTCCTGGCCGGGCCTGTCCTCCTCCTCCTCCTCCTCCTTCTCCTCCTCCTCCTCTTCCTCCTCCTCCTCCTTCTCCTCCTCCTCCTCTTCCTCCTCCTCCTCCCCCATTGGTACCCATCGGTCGGTGAAAGTAGGTATTAATGGATTCCCAGATCACAATCTACTTTAGCCACCCTCCGACTTCGAGAGTCGAGTGGTTTTCCTTCTTCCCCTCCTCTTTAGAAGGCGGGCGGAAGCCCAATCTATGTCCAACGCCTTCTTACTTCCAGGTTCTACCTACCTCTTCCGACCGTTGGGTAAGGCTTCGTGTCGCGCTCAGACAGCTCCCCCAGTGTCGTCCCTGCTGGCCTCAACAGGCCCCCCGGGTAGTCCCAGCTGGCCTCAACAGGCCCCCCGAGTGGTCCTGGGCGGTCTCAACACCTCAGCCTTGCGGCGCGGAGCGCCCTAGGGGCGCCGCCGGAGGCGGCGCCAGAGAGGGCGTTGAGTCCACGGGGGGGCCTGCTGAGGCCAGCTGGGACTAGCCGGGGGGCCGTCTGTGCGCAACCCGAGGCATTACCAATTTAGGGCCTCCTGTCTGGGGCTCATTGCCGCCATGGTTTCGAATCCGTGGCAGCAGGGGCCCAGCAGCATCGCGTCGCGGTCTCTTCTCCATCCTCTCATCACTCATCTTGCTCTCCTTCCTGTGCGCGGCGCGGAGACTGCCTTTCCCTTTTTGTGTTTGCCCCCCTTCCCCTCGCTGTTTGTCCCCGCCGTGGCTCTCTTGGGTTGTTTCAGGTCCAGGTTTGCTCCCGAGGCTCTTCACGGCCCCGGAATAAGAGCAGCCGCGCTGTGTACTATACTCGAACCTTGCCACTCGCGCGTCTGATTCCCAGGAGGGCCTGAGTCTCGCCCCCTCGAGGCCTGGTGCATGTACCCGCGCAAGCGAATAGGTTCTGTAAAGAGGCACTGAGAGGCAAGAGCCACCCCAGCATGAGCCCACGTGGCGAGATTTGCCTTTCCGAGCCTGTGAATATGATGCGGTGCATTGAATTCTAGCGCGTGGGCTTATGGACGATCGTCGCAAATTCTCAGGCCTGCGAACTAAAGCCCTCGCGTGTGGATTACACTCGCCAGGGGGCTCGCTTTCTCCTGAACTGTCCTGGCTTTTTGTGCCCTGGTCTGGATTTGTGCCTCCAGCAAGCAGCACTTCTTCAGCCCATGTGTCGTTCAGACACGGCGTTATTGATTGGGCTTCTGGACGGAAAAAGAAGAGCAAGACGGACGTGGGATCGGGAAGGCATCCGCGTGGCAAGCGCTTCTCTCCAGCGCGCAGATCCGCCCTTCGGATAGTGGCTCTGGAACGTGCCGGAAGATTTTCTAGATCCGAGCCCCAGCGGCCATGGAATGCGCAGCCATCTTTGCGAATGCCCCCCATCCCGCGGGGCGGCGTATTGCCGCTCACCTGCGGCTTGCCAATGTCGGCGGACCAAATTGGGAAATTGGAGCATGTACATTACCAGTGGCGGGCTGTCGCTCAATCCCAGGGCTTTTTGGGGGGGTCGGGAACGACGTGAGGGGGTTTGTGTTGTATACATGTTTCCCCGCTTTTCAGGGGAAACAACAAAACATGTATACGCCAGGATCCCGTGTTGACCAGGATCCGCTTTCCTGAGCGAGTTTCAGCGCGGGGCTGGAGGAAGCGTCGGTGTATAGATTTCGGCTCCTTACAAATCCGTCGGTGGCCAGCGAGAGGGGGCAGTGAGAAAGAGAAAGCCTTTTCAGATGGCTTCGAACCCCCCCGGCCTGCTGAGAAGTGTTCTGAAGGCGCGAGGGCTCCTGAGAAGTCCCGCCGCCTTCTGAGAAGGCCTTCTCCTTCTCACTTCCCCCCCCTCGCTCGCCGCCGAAAATGCAATGAGCACACGAACAGCCCACGGACGAATCCCCAGCTCGCCCGCGCCGCCCGGCCGCCAGCCGGTGGGCTCGCGCGCCCCACTCCTCCCTCCTCCCTCCTCCCTCCCTCCTCAGGCCCTCCGTCCTCCTCCTCCTCCGTCCCCCCTCCTCCCTCCTCCCTCCGTCCTCCTCCTCCCTCGCTCCCTCCTCGCTCCTCCCTCCTCCCGCGGCCAAGCGGTGCAGCCCGGGCGCCGTGTGGCACCTCCCGAATGAGGTGTACTGCCGATGATCTCATGTGGGCTGAGGCATGTCCCTCTCCCCCCCTTCTCCTCCTAGGGGCGATCGCTGTAATGGCGTGAGCTAGGAGGTCCCTCCCCTCCACCCCTTCCATTTCGGAATTTCAGAAAGGGAAGGCGGCACGGCCCCTGGGTTGAAAAGCCCAGGGGTGAACTTTGTCGCACCTTTGGCCGGAGAATGGCCCTGCCCTCCCCCCCTTTCCAACCCCTCCCGGGTCCTCGTAGCCAGGTTTGAGCCCTGGTGGTTGGGTCCTTCGCCGAAGAGTCGGGTTCGCATCCTGATGCCGAGGTGCCGCGCTGATGCGCTGTCGGGCACCCCCCTGGCTCATGCCCGTTGCCTTCTTGGGCTTGGGGCTCGCCCTGGGGGAACAGTGATGTGAGACGTGCATACGGGGGTCGGGCGCTGGGCAACCGCTCCGTTGTGTCTGGGGGTAGGGGGTTGTTGCCCCTTTGTATTGTTTCCATCCTATGGCACGCGTGTGCGGCGCTATTTGAAGTTAGCCTGTAAAAGGGGGCCCGAGGACGGTCCCGCATATCCTCACGCACTTGTGCCCTTGCGCTGATGCGCATCGCGGTGCCCTATTGTGGCAGATACCGCCCCGGTCAAGCCTGTGGGCTGTCTCTCATCATCATCCCTCCTCCCTCCTCCTCCCGAGGGGGACGGCATCGGAGGGCGGAGCGGAGAGAACCAGCAGAGCCCCGAGTTATCAGGGCAGGAGGAGGTCAGGGATAACTCCTCTTCCTCCTCCTCCTCCTCCTCCTCTTCCTCCTCTTCCTCCTCCTCCTCCGCCTCCTCCTCTTCCACCTCCTCCTCCTCCTCCTCTTCCTCCCCACTCTTCCTCATATTCCTCCTCCTCCTCCTCTTGAATCGTGCCTCCCGCTTTCGCGCTGGAGTTGCCCCAGATTGCACTCGACTCGAGTTGTCCCGGATCATGATCTGCCCCATGTACATGCTGTCTAGCAGCATTCGCTGGAAGCAGGAGTTGTTCTGGGTCAAGCGATTCCAGGGCCTTTCGTGACCGTATTTGGGGACACCAGACAGGGCCCGACCTGGACCAGGTCTATCCCCGACAGTCCAGGTGCAAAAAACTGTGCACAGACACTGAGCCTGTCCCGGCCCATCCTGGGTCTGGGATCGGTGCATATGCCGTCTTGGCCAAGCCAGGAGGGCGTATGCACCGATCCTGGGTTCAGGGCAGACCCGGCCAGGATGGGTGTGTGTGTGCATAGTTTTCCCTCGTCTACCGATGTCGAATCACGGCTTCTGTGCGGTGGGGGATTTGGCGAGTCCGCCCGATGCCGCGGCGAGACGTGGTGCACGAGAGGGGCTTGGGTCGCTGGCCCGAAGCCCCTGCAGGCAAGCTGTTTAGGGTTAAGGGAACGAGCGAATTCGTCAGAACCCTCCTGCCCTCCCTTCCCCCCCTCTTCCCAGACCCCCTCCCGTTGCAAACAAAAAAGCACGACAGGAGGTCTTTCGTTACTTTCGGTCCCCTGGGGGCCCGTACCGGTCCCCAGGACCGTCAAAAACGACTCAGGATGAATTCGGGATGACTCAGGTCCCCAGGAACGACTCAGGAGGAAAAACCAGTCCTGGGGGACGGGGTCCAGATCTCTGCTGGGGGTCGACGTTGTGAAAACATCACGGCGTCGGGAGCCTGGGCTCCTCGGGAGGTCGCTGGAGGTCCACGGGTGGGCCCCGAAGTTCCTTGGGAGGTCTCCGCGAGAGAAGTCCCCCCTCCGGAGGCGTCCGGAGGCCCAGCTCCACAAGAGCCACATCTGCGTCCCCCTCGCAGCGTCCAGTCTATCCCCGCTCCCCTGATCTCGACGACCTGATTTTTCAACCGAGGCGTCGTTTCCCTTCGCCTTCGGCCGCTCAGTTGGTGTTCCACCGGCTTCCGGGCCCTGGATTCCGTATCCACTTGTTCTCTATCCAGTGCCTTCACCGTAACCCAGACCCCCGACGTCGTGATGTTTGTCACATCGTCGACCCCCCGAGGTCTGGACCCCTTCCCCAGGACCGGTTTGTCATCCCGAGAGTCGTGTTTTGACGGTCCCGATGCCCACTCAGGGCCCCCAGGGGCCGAACAAGAAAGGAAAAGACACCCCGTCGCGAGGGGGCCTGGGAACGGAGGACGTCTCTTGGCCTGGCTCTTCCGCGACCCTCCCTCCGCGAGGTACGTGCTGGAGGGCTGCCCGGTGAGCATCGGGCTGCGGGGCTCCCGGCAGCTCGTGGTGCGCCCGCTCAGGCCCAAGCCCCGGGGTGGGGGGGGGGCCTGCGGCGAGGAGGAGCTCCGCGGGGGGCACCCGTGCGAGCTCCGCAGGGGGCACCCGTACACCCTGGTGGGCCCTGGAGGAAACGACAGGGCCGTTTTTTCTTTCCGGTTCCTTTTTGCAGTTTTTCTGCTGGTTCCGACGCCGTGTTTTGTTTCACCGGTTCCGTCGCCGTGTCTTCTACTTGTTCCGGCTCCCTTTCCACTCCTGGAGCCGTTTTTTTTGTTGTTTCCGGTCGCCGTTGCTTTGCCGCTTCCATCATCAAGTGGCATTCTTCGGAAACGGTGACGGTGAACAAAAACGGCCCTGCCGTCACCGGGGCCCATTCAGCTGTGCACCACTGCCGTGTCCCTAGGGGGCCTTATGCAAACCCTACCCCTGCCCCCCACGAGTTCTGAGGGGAGGGTGGGGTTCACTTCGCTCGGGAGCTCCCGAACGGAGTCAACCCCACCCTCCCCCTCAGAAATCGTGGGGGGCAGGGGTAGGGTTCGCACGTGGCCCCCTAGGGGCCCATTCAGCTGTGCACCATCGCCGTGTCCCCTCTGAGATCTGGGCTTTTTGTTGGCGGGCCTCGGGACACTCCCTCGCGGACCGATCGGGCTCGGGAACTGCTGGGGCTTCGGTCCCCAGTCGCGGTTCTGCGCGATGCTGGACTTGTTCGCCACGTCGCATCTCAAGGGCCACCGTGGTGTCTGGCCGGGGCCAGTCCTGGGCCCCAGGATGGTGCACAGACCGGACGGGGCTTGGACGAGGATAAAACCGTTCCAGAGCGTTCCGGAACATTTTCACAGCGGACGGATCCAGGAACGCTCTGAGAAGGCCGCGGCGCCCGAGACATCCTCCAGAGCCGCTGGGTCCTTGAGATTTTCCAGTTATTCTCTGCCGAGTTTACCTTCGCCCCCAGACCTCCGACGTCATGATTTGTTACACCGTCGACCCCAGGCGGTCTCGACCCATCCCCGGGACCGGTTTGTCCTCCCGAGTCGTTGTTGGACGGTCCCGAGGCCCGGCGAGGGCCCCCTGAGCCCGGAAACAGTGCAAAGCCTCCCGTCGTGATTTTTGTTCCCTGACTCGAAGGGGCCTGGGCTACATCCTCCGCCGAGTTTGCCCCCCGTCTTGGCTTCGTCTTGCAGGGCCTGCGCCCCAGGACGGTGCACGGCGGCGGCTTCGGAGGAGCACGCTGGGGGCGGGGAGCCGTCGACCCGGCGCGCCCGCGGGGGCGCGCGGCGGATCTGCGCACCGTGGCCCAGATCTCGGGACGACCGGCACTGACCAGCCTGGAACATGTCCCTGTCCCTACGCTGGGCATCGCCTCATCACAATGCCAATCTTGGGGATTTCCTTGAGTTTTTCAGGGCGCAGTCCTGAGATTGTCATCGCCTTTTTGGGCGTGTCAATCTTAGGGATAGGGTTAGGTTCGAGGCTGGTAAGACATGGGTAATTATCGACTACACGTAAGAGTGACCCTGCGCCGGGGTGACCTTTGGTGCGGGCTCCTCGGGCTCCCCCCGATCGCCGAGCGCGATGCGATACAAGCGGCCCGCGCCCTTGGGTTTGGCCCCCCCGCGGCCCCAAAAGCTGCGCACTCAGGGTCAGTCTTACCCAGGGTCACTCTTACGTCCAGCCGAAATTACGGAAAGAATGGGTACAAAGACCGACAGCAGTTCTGGTTCATTTTGAGCACAATTCGTTGTCGGCGTCGCCGCGGACTGTGTCCGTTTGAGACAGAAGGCCGGCTGCCAAACAGCGGCCGCTGTTTGTTCGGGACAACATTTGCTGTTGGGCATTGTGCCCATTCTTTCCGTACCCATTTCGGGCGTCCAAAAGATTGCAGACCCCTCGGCTCCTGAAAGATCACAACGGGAGGTTTTTCACCTTTCTCGGCCTCGGGGGGACCTCGCTGGGCCTCGGGGCCGTCCGAAGGCGGCTCCGGCTGAGACGATGGTCCCGGGGAAGGGGTCGATAGCGCTAGGGTCGACGTGATGACGAGATCATGACGTCGGGAGTCTGGGGAGGCGGGCGGGGCCCATCTGGGGCGGCGCTCCCCTCAGAGGAGCGCGAGTGGAGACAACGGTAGTTAGTTGGCCTTCGAGGGAGGGTCCTCGTCGCCACGGCTGGACGCAGCTCGTAAAGTTGGTGTGCCCAGGGCCCGGGAGGGCTCCGGGAATCTATTGTGAGTTGCCGTTGTCTCAGCTCGCCCTGCTCCGATGTGGCGGCGCGCAGAGGGGGTGCAGGAGGAGGGGGAAGGCTTCTTGGATGCAAGGGTGCTTCTGAGAAGCCTTCCCCTTCCCCCTACCCTCTTTTGTGCGCGCCGCCAGTTCCTCTCTCTCTCTCTCTCAGAGGAGGAGGAGGAGGAGGAGGAGGAGGAGGAGGAGGAGGAGGAGGAGAAGATGATGGAGCTGTGGGGTGGAGGAGGACCTAACTCTTTCTCTCTCTCTCTCTCTCTCGGCAGCAATGGCGTGGCACGCCCAAGCCGCCCCGCGCTTGCCCCGCGTTGGGCCGCCGTCGCCCAAAGGTTAAGTCGGGCATATCCCTCTGCAGGAGGAATTGATTTGTCTCTGACTCGTTTTCCTAAGTGCGAGTGGCCTCGGGAGTTTCTGAGCAGTGGAGCCGCGTCCGTCTCGTTCGCTGCTCCTGCTGCTGCTCTCTCCCTCTGCTCCGAAACCGCTCCTGCTCAAACTCTATCATTCGTGGGGCCCCCGGCAGTGCATGGTGGTGCCGTGGGCCGCAGCCGGCCCGTGGGCGGCCTCCATCGCGACTGCGTGGCTCTCGCGCTGTCCCGCCTGCCCAGAGGCCCGGGTGACGTGCGGGGCCTGCCCCGCGTGCCCTCCGGCGGCGGCCGCCGCCCCCTGCCCGGGCTGCCCGAGCTGCCCGGACTGCAGTCTGACCTGCGGGTCCGGGCCAGGCTGGTGGGCGGTCCTTGCCGCCCTGGGCGCTGGGCTCGCGGCTGGTGGCAGCCTCCGCGTGACGCTGGGCTGGGCCGCCCGAGTCGCTTCGCTCTTCGTCGGCGGGACCGACCCGCCGCGGCGCGAGGGTGCGGCGCCCGTGACCCTGCTCGTCGAGGACGACGGAGCGGGCCAGGACGGCGGCGCGCAGCGCCGCTTTCGGGCGGTGCGGGCGTAGCCTGATCGTCGGCCGTTCGCCAGATGGCAGCGGCGGCGATGCGGACGCTCGACGTGCCCGAGGCGCAGGTGTGCGTGAACTACGACGACGACGACAACTTCCGATGGCACCACAGGGTGCTCCTCGAGCAGCTCAGCCCTGGCGTCTGGGTGGCGGCGACTCCCGACGGCGAGGTGCTGACGCTGGATCTCAGCAAGCACCTGGTCGTCCCCCTGCGTCGGGGGTCCGCGTTCCCGGTGCGGGTTCGTGGGCAGGTCTACGCGTTCGGCGACCAGTCGGACGAGGACATCGAGGCGCTGCGGGTGGAGGCGCGCGGCCTCGCCCTGGTCATGGGCGTCTCGGGCCCAGCTGGGACTGCTGGGGGCGTCGTGCCGCGCTGGATCGTCTCGGACCCAGGCTCGCCCGAGTTCGGGCGCGAGCTGGACCTCCACCTCATCGGGAACCCGGAGCGGCTGATCAGCCGCGACGCGGTGGGCATCGCGATGCTCAGCGAGGAGGAGGGCTGGGTCTCGGTCGAGAACGTGCAGCAGGCCGACGAGGAGGACTGGCGCGCCGAGAAGCGCCGCGGCCCGGGACGCGACCCGCGGATCCTCCCGCTGGCGCGCCGGGGTCGCGGGGTCCAGGTGACGCTCGGGGAGGCGATCGCGAAGATGAACGCGGTCGACTTCGACGACTGGCCCTTTCGGGGGCCGAAGGCCCTGCCCGAGCTGCTGGCCGCCATCCTTGCCACCGGGCTGACCCTCACGTCCTACTGGGGGTACTGGGTCTCAGAGTCGGGGGTGTCTCGGAACGCCGCGGTGGCCCAGGAGGTGCGGCACGCGCTGAACCAGCTGCACCACGCCGTGACGTACGACCTCGTGGACCCGTCGAACTTGGCGTCTCTGGAGCTCCTGGGGCGCCGAGTGCTGCAGATCCAGCGGGCTGTGAAGAGGTGCCCGCGCCACCCGAGTTTCGAGGGCCTCGGCTTGATGTTGAGCAGCTCTCTGGACGAGAGCGGAGGCGTCGTGACGTCGAGGTTCGACGCGTTCGTGGCCGAGGAGCAGAAGTCGCAGGGCATCATTCTGAAGCAGGAGCGGATGTACCGGGAGGAGCAGGAGTCGGAGGCGAAGAAGTACGAGAGGCAGGGCGACGACCGGGAGAGGGGCTCCAGGGCGGATCCGAAGGGCAAGGTGAAGCCGAAGCCCAAGGCCGCCGCGAAGGATCAGGGTTGACGGCGCCATGTCGGCGCCATCATGGCTGGGCGCTCCGCCCGGCCTTACTGGGCCTGGCCCTGACTCCGCAGCCGCGAATGCGAGTCGGGCCGGGCTGCTCTCCGAGGGGGTCTCCTCCGAGAGTCGGACCTCGTCCACAGTTTTGTTTCCTCTGCCGCAGGGTGACGAGTTCTATCGCCACCCTCATCGTGGAGAACGTGCCGCTCTGCCTCGGTATCTGGCCCAGCGTGCTGCTCGTGCTGGCGACCGTGATCGCAGGTCTCTCGAGACTCTGGGCGCGCTCAACGCGCTGGCAGGCGCACGGGCTGGGGGGCGTCTCGAGCCTCGAGCGCCCGGCAAGCATCGGCCGACTACCGCCCAGGAGTCGGTCATCAAGCGAGTCCGACGTCGTATCCGCGGGTTCGGCGACCGACCGAAAGACATGGACTGTGCTGGAGCCCTGCAGGAGCTCCTCAAGTGCAAGGATCTGTACTCGAACATGGGCGAGGCTTCTACTCGCCGCGACTATGATGCTGACAAGCTCAATGTGTTACGACGTGCGCCACATGACCGGCCTCGTCAGCTTCGAGACGTTGCCCCTCGGCACGTCACCGAGGCGCTGGACCACTTCGACTCGGACGTCGTTCGCCCCGCGCCGAACA